GACAAGGCTTCCACGTAGATCCCTTCACATGGGATGAAAGAGGAAGGGACCAATTTGGAGAGGACGGGACAAGGGGTGGGCAGTCGGGTGGGTAACCGAATGCTTACCCAGAAACTGAACTGAAAAAATGAATTCGGTTTGGTTTCAATGGTTTTTGAGTTTTACTGTTTTGGTTTTGATATTAACAAAATAAATTTCAGTTTGGTTTCAGTTGAATCTTTCATAAACCAAAAACTAAAAATAAGTCTTTTGAAAACCGAAATTTGGATAAATATGACAAAATATGATAAAATATGAGATAAAATATAATTTATTATTGGAAAAAAATTGATTAGTATTTATTTAGTAAAAACCAAAACCGAACCGATTGACACTTGGGTCCCTCACTTTAGACCGTGTAATAATTAGGTCCCTGCAAAACAAAACCAATATTTTAAATTATTTTAATTAAGTACAAATTGATAATAAACTGGAATTAATCTTTGGTTTTTCCTCGACCAATTTCAGAATGAATTTCAAAATCATATTAAAACTCAAATAATTTTGTCAGTAACAGGAAGATGATGTTAGCTGACATGGTTGGTCAAATAATGAGTTATTTGTCTAAGTCAAAAATTTTAAGGATGGATTTATCTCTTTTTTTGTTCATGGGTGGATCCATCCCAATTACTATAATTTGAGAGTGAATTTGGACATTTTGTCAAATATAAACTCTGAAATTATAGATTTTGGCACGGTAGGTTATTAGTAAGAGATGAAACATAAGGTAATAGCAGTAGAATTACGAGAACTTAGTAAGTATAAAAAATAATGAAACTTTGAATTGTTTCTTATACAAATAAATATCCAAGTAGCTTTGTTCCACATTATAAGCATGAAATTACCGAGAATGGTTTTCTTATGTATTTCATTAAGAAAATTTTAGAATTTGAGTTTATTATATATGTATATACATATCTATTTTGAAAATAATCTAGTTGTGATTGATATACATGCAATGGAGACATGGCTTCATAGTATGCCATGCATAAGCAATTCTCAATAATTTTAGATGTCTTTAGTTTTGGTATGTTACTTTTAGAAATTGTCAGTAATAAAAACAAAATAGTGTTTTTGAAAGGGGACAGCGTAGAAGACCTACTAAGTTATATATGTAAGTACGACAATCTATACTTATTTTAGAAAACTAAAGTGCAGTCCATCCTGCGTGGACTTCACCACAACACTCTACTTATTTTATGTTCTTTCACGTATCGTGACAAATAAAAGTTCAAATCTTAGCTGCTTCTCATTTTGATGCCCCATGCGCATGTGCATTTGTGCATTTGGAGTTGTTTTCAAGGTAAAGACTTTTAAGAACCAGAAAAGAGTATCAATCATCCATCTACATGTATTGAACTGAAATGTGATGCTATTTACAGTGCTAGCTTCCAAATAGACAAGACGTAGCAGTTAAAAGACTATCTAGGGGTTCCAAACAAGGGGAATCCGAGTTTAAGAATGAGGTCCTCTTAGTGGCCAAACTTCAACACCGTAATTTGGTTAGGCTTCTCGAGTTCTGCTTGGAAGGAAAAGAAAAACTTCTCATCTACGAATTTGTGCCAAATGCAAGCCTTGATAACTTCATATTTGGTAGGTGACTTTTCCATTTTATTTCCTGGAGTCCAATTTTAGTTTTTCCTTCATTAGACGTTTTGGTCATTTACAAAGCCATCATTTAAAAAAAAAAAAAATTGATATCTTATTTTGTGTTATTTAATCACATACTAGCATGAACTATGAACATATATAGATCCAATAAAGAGTGCGAAATTGGACTGGGGAAGGTGGTACAGAATTATGGGAGGCATTGCTCAAGGGTTTCTCTATCTTCATGAAGACTCTTAATTGCAAATTATTCATCACAATCTTAAATCCAACAACATTTTACTAGATGAAGAGATGGATTAAAAAATTTTAGATTTTGGCATGGCATGCAACATTGTTTGTAGTTGATGATACTCATGTTACTACAAATAGGGTTGTAGGAACATAGTAAGTATTACAATCTTAGCATCAACATTTCATTAGTTCATTCCCTTTGTAAATTTTTATTCATATTA